ACACTCTTGTGGGACACTCTTGTGGGACACACTTGTAGGACACTCTTGTGGGACACTCTTGTAGGACACTCTTGTGGGACACTCTTATAGGACACCCTTGCGGGACACTCTTGTAGGACACTCTAATTGAAGTTGACTCCGGTGCCAAGGCACGTTTCTGCACTCTTTTCAACATCGTTTTGCCTCCATAGTTTGTATGTTTCTGCAGATTCTAAATATGCACTGAATTGAGTAGTAAGGCTTACAGTATCAGATTCTACAGAATTTAGTGGTATGCTGCTTACTGAGCTTAATTTACAGAACATCAACTATTTATATCTATTTATGTTGCAATTTTTTGCAATTTTATTTACAGAACTTCAATGTGGTGCTCTACAATGCCTTCGTGCACCCTCAACGCCTCCAAGGTCTTTTCCCGGGACACCTGGCCGTTTCTCGAGCTTGGAAAGCACAAGTTCTGCGTGTCACTGTGTCTGCCACGGGCGTACTCCGATGGGACATCAGTGCTGAATCGAGAACTGCCCTGTTCTACATTTGAACGTCCATGGTGTGATTACCTTGGCTGGATCACAACCAATTCTCTACAGAGCAGAGCGACCCTTCTTCGGTTCACCAAATGCCAACTCGGGCTGACCCAATCCAAACGCCTCTGAAGATCTCCAACTTGTGCCTTCCGGTGCATCTAAGAAAGGCATACAGAAATGAATTCATCAAATCATGCTGCACGGGAAAGCAAAGTCACAACGAAGGCGACTTTCTTGGACCACTTGTGGCTGGCATCTCTCTAGCCTGAAACATCTATCTTGAAACCATATGGCAGTCGAGAGGTCAAACAGAATGCATTGTCCGCTAGTGGTAACTCAATGATAGAGCTTCGATCCGAGCAGCAACGACAGTACTGAATTTTTCCCTGTTCGGTATCTCACAGGTGCGACCGAACATGCTTACCAGATGCCTCAGGTGCAAAAAATCATCGCCGCCCCCAAGGTTTGCAACCTATTCACCAACTCGCCCTGATGCCGCATCGCGTACAATTCGAACCTGATGAATGATTTGAGCCTCTAGAACATTTTCAGATTCTTGGGGAAACATGACATTTGGGGTTTTGGGAAACTACACATGCTTCAAAAGTACCTGTGACAAAAGCGCATGTTCTCTCAGTATAATGCGCTAGAAAATACGATTCTTTTGAATCTGCAAGCGCCCATTCATCCAACCAGCGAAATAAATTTGTTTCAGTTGCGCTGGCGTGTTGTGCAAATTGAACACCAATTTGCAAATTCCCAATGTGTTCGGCTTTGTAAGCCAACCTGCCACAAGAACGTCTGCATGCTAACTATAACTTTAGGAATCCGGCACAAAACATCACGAGCTGCGTATTCAATAATATTCATGTTTGACAGGAGTTTTTTGCATAAATCTAATTACTGTGATATCTTCGAAAGTATTTCCAAAATTGCCCCTCAGAAACTGCAAGCCACGAGCCTCCATTGATGCAATCTGGATCAGGAATGGTGCTAAGCGCAGTCGAACACTGTCAGAATTCATGTCAATTGAAATTTTGTTGAATGATGTGATTTTCCTGAGTATTCACAAAGCTGAAAATCTGACATTTAACTTTGTGGGCATGTCGATTCATTGTGGGTGTGTTGGAACTTTGGCCTTTAACTAAAGGCGCTCAGGCCTCCTTACCTGGTTGTTCAGGAATCTGGTTTCTTAGGTTGCCGTGTGGCGAGTGGCATTCCCATCCGTACGCATAATCTCAAGTGTGTCTGGCTTCATGCCAGCCCACAGTGACACCGCAAAGTGGGCCCTGTGGACCCGTTGAACGGGGGTTTGTCCAACGTATCCCCTGCCCGGATACAAAGCAGCTCGCAGCGAGCGTGGTAGGCTTATGCGAAAGTTATTTGCCAAGACTTGATGGATTCTTGAATTCCAAGCTGGCTCTATGCCATTACGTGACCGTAGCGGTCCAAGCTGGTTTAACGCCTCAACGTGGTCAGAGCGACCGTAGTATTTCTAGGTTCATTGGAACCTGTCGCAACCTTGGGTGCACATACAGCGTGTACATTCAAACAAGGCAGGTTTTCCTAGGTCGTTGGAATGAGGTTTGGTTTCATCGGTTCCCGTCCCCTTCATTTGGTTTCCCTTTTCATCCTTTTCCCCTTGACACACTTCTTTTTCTCGTCTTTTCTTTCATGTCTTCCCTTGCTTCATGTCTTGTCATCTCATCTCTTTCCCATTGCTGCGCTCGGCCCTTAGTATGTACATGCACAACCTACTTTCAACTCAGGTCTTAGGTCGCCCAGGTCTTTCCGGTGAGGTGGGTTGTCATCGGTTGTCCCTGTGCACTTGGTTCCTTTTCATTGCAACCACACACAGACACACCTTGGTCCCGTCTTGTCTCCTCTTCATGTCTTCATTCTTTTGTCTTACTGCGCACACGCTCACACATTTGCCCTGACCTTAGTGCTTCTCGCCTCCCCTCGGGGAGGCGTGTGTGTGTGTAACCTTTGGAGTCACAAAGTTCCTTTTGGAATGTTTCCTTTTTCAGCAGGGGGGCATGCGGCTATCACGCAAACGCATGCCAACGAAGCTATGCGTGATAGTGGAAGCCAGGTCTGATCAACCTGGTGTACCTGCTTGTGGAACTGTTGACAAAGCTGTCACCCTCTTCTTATCATAAAGGGCTAGTGCATTCTGCAGACAAGAGCGGCCGTCGTCAACTCGACCTGTTCGTCGTATCATGGAGTTGGAACTTTGGCCTTTAACTAAAGGCGCTCAGGCCTCCTTACCTGGTTGTTCAGGAATCTGGTTTCTTAGGTTGCCGTCTGGCGAGTGGCATTCCCATCCATACGCATAATCTCAAGTGTGTGGGCGCCCTTCTGTTCAATAGCTTTGAAGCCAATCTTTGCTCAGACGGCTTTGGCAAATGAGTCTCCGTAAACGGGGATCCCTCCCCATGGATCCGAACATCAAGATTTATAATTAAGGAACACGAACCCCATTCTGGACAAGATGACATTGCTTCGTCGCAACATAAGTGAAATTGACGCGATCAAAGGCAAACAGTTATATATCTGAATTCAAAGTGAATGATCTATGCTGCTGGTTTGGACAAAAACATACGTGTAGCGCATGCCACCGGTGAAGACCCATGCACATGGCTGTGGATCTTGCATTTCCAAGAAACCTGCATCCCTTTGTGGTCATTTTGTTGGACCATGCGGTATGGTTTGGTGCTGCATTCCCCAGTTTGTGCTGCATCATTTTTCCGAGCCAAAAACTGCAAGGCTCACACTGATGTGGTTGAAATTTAACCGTTACCAAAGCTTGTGGAACGAACAGGGGGTCAAAGACCGATTCAAAACTGACCCCATGCGAAGAAGCCAACATAATAATTGTCGATCAAGGACTTTGTTGCCAATCCATGTGAGGTTTTTAATGGTATGTGGAAAACAAGAGTACTCAATGGCCAAGCGTCGAAAACGCACCATAATCTCTGAAAATAAGCATCGTCCCACAAAACAAGCATCTCGCTTGAGTTGGCAACGAAGGCTGGGATTGCTCTTAGTATGGCAGCTTTCTCGAACACGTCTGCTTGATTGACACAAACACCGTCAAACCACAAAGTCTTGCGGCAAAACACATGTCCGAAGAAGTATGT